AGGAAAGGGAGAGCTCTCAGGTGTCCCCAACCTTGCATGTTGAACCCAGGACAAGACCCCATGTTGCAGACACTGAAACTGCTTTAGAGATGCAGGTACCCAAGAAGGGACATTTGAAAGAAAGCAGGACTTTTGAAAACTGCCTGGCAGACAGCAGTTCAAAGGAACTCATCCAAATAGAATTGCCTTTATGGAAATTTCCAATTTTGACAAATTGGTAAATGATGATGAGGAACCTTTTCATCCAACTTCTCTGACCACCTGCATCTTACTTAACCTGTGATTGATATAGACTTTAGCCATCTCAAATTCTCTGCCAGGCAGCCTACATCAGCTGAGCCAGTTCTTCTACTGAGGAATGAGTATCATCAGGACTTCAGGCCACCAAAATGGGTATCCCAGCGAAAGCATTGGTATAATGCAATGGGCAAAGGCACTAATATCAATTCTAAATTCTGAACTCCAAATTTTTGGTTAGTCAATGATGCGAACATTTTCAAGTGTGGATACTTAATGTTGGACAGCTGTAGTCAGATATGGTAAACACCCCTATTCCATATTACTTACACTTCCTTAAGCCCTTCTAGCTCAGCTTCTCAAATATAGAAAAATGAAAATAATAAAATTCTTCAGAGAGAGGTTATTATAATTAATGTTTGTAAATTCTTAAATGTCATTAAAGCACACAGTAAACTTTTCAGCTAAGATAAGGATCTATAAATCTTCTGAAATTTGGTGTATTTATTGCTTTTTCTTACTTTTTGATTTTTTTAGTATTGAATGGGATAAAGTACTATATACAGAATGTGATAACGACAGTTGATGTAAGGAAAGGGAACCAAAAGAAATCAGTGCTTGAGAACCACATGAACCATGATCTTAATTGGTTTTGCTTTTACTACTTTCATAGGGTGTTTTTCTTCCTCTCTTTATTCCTAATTTTCCTGACATTTTTTTCATCATTTTATCTTTGGCTTCCGTATTCTGAGAAATTGGCCTAAGCTAAGTCAGCTAAGGCTTCTCTTTTAACATTTTTGACTAAGGCAAGTTAGAAATGGTGTTATAATAGTATTTCTTGAATTTCAGAGCATTTCATGTGATGATTGCATCTACATGTCATCTTCAAGATTTTTTCCCCTAAAAGAAGCATGAGAAATAGAAACTATATCCTTACTCTTTCCTGTTCGTATTTGTTTAACCTTCAAAGGCAGTGATTCAGAATAACTTAAAAGCTTGCAAATAGAAATGAATCAGCCCCCACTCATCCCAACAGAGGGTTCTTTAAAAACTAGACTTTTTCAAAAGCACTAGGCTTTCATTGATTTAAGCTGTTTTGAAAGTCAGGCCTTTTAGATACATGTTTACATGTCAATTGAAGAAAAAGATTTTTATAATTCAAGTGGAAAAAACTTGTCCTTAATTTTCCTCAAAAGAACAGACTCTAGATTGTTCATGAACACATGTTGCATTGAACATTTTTTAGCTGAGTACATTCCTTTGGCTTTTCCACAAATACTGATTATCCAGAACTGTTTGATTCTCCAGTGGGTTAAGTGTGATAACTTGTGTTCTTGACAGAACGTGAGTTATAAAAAGACTGTAACTGTGGTGCCTGCTGGGTGAATTCTGATTAGAGAGTCCATCTAAAACTGTTCTTTGTGCCTCTGCATTGTTTTCAGTGAGTTACTAAAGGGGCAAAGCAGTATGTTTTAATACAGACTTTATTTGACAAGCATGTATTCTTTCAAAGCAGTAACTGTAATATTTGTTCTAAAAAGGGAGGATTTTTTTTTTCTTTTCGTAGACACTGATTCTGAAACCTTGGGTTCAAATCTGTAATTCAGAGGAGTTTTTATTGTAACACTAAGTAACAAAGAAGAAACGTGTACACGGTTTAGGCTGCTAACACCAACAGATGGTAACAGGAATAATTCAAAATTTATTATACTTCAGCTTCTTTTGTCTTTAAGGACCAGTTTCTGTTTTTGTAGGGTATGAACAGAAGTTTATAAAATATGCAGCATTTTGAGAGAAAATAGGAGGCAGAAATAAAAATCTGCCAGTTCATAGCCGTTGTACTTTTCTCTTTTTTTTTTTCACTGCCTTCCTTTGTTCTCTTTTCTTATCCTTCTTTTTTCTTCAGTCTTATAATTTCTTGTAACTTTTCAGCTTCTCTTATCCTTTCATACCCTTTTGCAAGACATTCTGTCTGCTCCCTTCACTGTGCCATGGCGTGGCTCTCGCCTGAGGAGAAGCAGCCTCGTGGAGTGGCAGCTGTCAAGATGAATCATCAACTTGGGGGAGAGCAACTGGTTTCAATTGAAATTCACTGCTGTCACCATTGCCTGGAGCTGCACTGGTTTAAGGCTGTTTTGACAAATAAATAAATAAATAAATAAATAAATAAAGGTGCATGATTACTTTGCATCCATTCCCATTCCTGAGGCTATCAGGGATGAATTTTCCCCAGGACTTTTTATATACATTGAAGTGCTTATCTTAATTATATCATCCTTAAATGAAGCTCTTGCAGTTGAGGATCTGTGGATAGCAAGCCTCCTCTTCTTCCCATCCATATCCTCTCCAATACCCAAGTTGTGATCCTTCACTCCAAGGATTTGAAGTGATTAATGTACACTACCAAGGGGAATCTACAGACTGGTGTATTATCATTCAGTAATATATAGTGTTCAGTTTGTTTGTTTTCAGCTCTGTCTTCTCTGCTCATTTCTGATGGGAGGATGGATCCTGAAACATGTAGAAATAATAAGATAGAATACGGGATGATTTTTAAATTAAAACTTAAAATACAAGGCAAGCCTGAAGATTCCATGTCCTGTAGTTTGCTATATGTGAATTGCAGTCATTCCCATGTGTCAAATAACATGTCAGGTGCAAACAACTGACAGCAGTAGGGTGAAGTTACAAGAGGACCTTGCTTCCAACCATTTGAGGGGTGCATGTGCAGATTAAGGTTTGCCAAGTGACTTTGTTGGCTACAGTAGGGTTCCATCAGATTATTATTGTTATTTATACCAGTATAATTGAAATTAGCCTTCATTCCCTGCTGTGGGAATACTTGACTGTCAGTCATATTTCTGTAACAACAGTGTTTTTCATGGAATTGTAATTAAGATTTTGTGTTAATAGCCTGTTGTTAATAGCACAGGCCAAATTTCACAGTCCCTGCAGCCCTGTTTTACCCCCTGAAGAGTAGCTCTCCTGTCACTTTTCCATTTCATGTCAGCTGTGCCAGGTATCCATTTGGAGAGAATAATTTCTGGAAAGTCTCCCACAAGCAATTTCAGTCACTGGTTTTCTGGACTGCACCTGTGGTTTCTGTATGATATTTCAGCCAGACCCATACTTATCCTTGTTGAATACCAAGAACAGTGCAGACTCAGCTCCTCTTGTTGTCCACTGACTTAAAATTAATTTGTAACATGTTTGGAGTAGAAATCAACTCAGCTTGTGTATGGATGCTGCATATGGGATTACTGAAGTCTCTATCACACAAATGAACATCTCCCTGGACGTGGAGGGGAAGTGCAATTGTGAACTTTGTGTGACACATAATAAGAGTCAGTCTTTAGCTATTGGCTTAAAAGCAGAGATGATCCTGGAAAGATTTTTTTTTTTTTTAATAGGAAAGGCTTTATGAAGTCCTTTATTCTAATAAGCACATCTAGTGTTTGGATGGAGAAGGAAATTCAAGTTTCCTTAAAGTTGAGAGTGCAGGAATGTGCCTCCCGCATGCTCCAGGTTTCTCAAAGTACTCTATTACCCCATCTCTGCTTTAGGTGCAGCTGCATCCCATTCAAAATTAACTGCTGTCCATGCAGCCGCTCACGGAATAGCCTTGCTTTTGCCTGGTGGCTGTTAGAGCATCTGCTACCATGGGTGAGCACTTCTGATTTCTCACAATAGAGGGCAGTGATTATACTGTTGTCCTCGATACAACGAAAAGAAAAATCTGCCTGTGCTACCTATTTGTGAACAGGTAGCTCTTAGGAATATAGAAATTATTAGCTATCAATATTAAATAATGATTAAATGTGGAAATCATGATATAGCAGCAGGATCACTCATATAACAGGCAGCTGTGTTTTTAGGAATGGGAAATTCTGGGGTAAGTCAACTTGTAGCTTGCAGCTACTTGTATTCGAATTTTTATTTTCCAGCCACCAACTGGCTTGAAGGCAGAGAATTCCTCTTGAATGCAGAAAGTAGGTGGCAACTGCTGTAAGAAATTTCCTGTGAGTGTGTTCTATCCCTCTTAGTGAATATCATTCCATTCTGAGCCTAATTGAAAACTGAAGATAGAAAACTGAGCAATTATTTGTCCTTGCAGTACAATATATAATATTCTGATTTCATGGCTGTCTGACTACAATAATTAGGAAGAACATTTTCTTACAGTATTTACAGTACCATAGCAATGTATCAGGAACACTGTGTATCAAGAGAAGGAACTATCATGTTAAAATATGCTCCACTTAAAAACATACCTAATTAAAAAGTAGGATGCTGTTGAATGTTACATTTGGTGTAGTTAATAATTGCTTTGTAAGCCTTTTCATGTCTTTAGCTTTGAAAAAGCTATTCAGGATGAAGAAAACAGCCTTGAACTGGAAAGTCTACAGTGGAAATAATCTGCAACAACGGAGAGAACCTCTGCAACAAAGGCATTTGGTGTTTAGAACTGTACTACTGTATTAAGCCCAGAACAGCGTGGTTATATTTTCTGGAGAAATGCGAAATATGTGTGCAGTTGCTGATGGTTGTATAGTCCTTTAACTGAAACAAACTGCTCAGTGGGACAAACTCTTATCTGGTAATCTCTGTGGAAGTGGGGTAGAGACCCTCAGTACTGGGGAGGATACTGGTTAGGAGAAGTAAATAAGACAGAAAATTGTTTAAAACGTCCCATAATTTTGCATAGACAGCTTAAAGAAGTACTATAAATTTAATGTATTTGCTTGTTTTTCTTTTTATATCAGATAGTATTACTGAAGTCTTCACTAACATCTATGTAACCAGTTTTGGACCAGTTTCAGATACTGATATGGTGAGTTTCTGAATCTTTTTCACATATGTTAAATGATGTAAGATATATACTGTTAACTTCATGTAAACTTGTATTCTACTTTTACTTACTGGGCACATGTTGGGAATAATTTCCCTGAAGTCAGGAAGTGCCAAATCCCAGTAGTTCTAGAGATGGAATTTGATCTTCATGATAAGTACCTTGTGTTAGCTGTTTATTTTGCTCTGGTGAATCTTCTGGTTGACCCCACTGACTACACTGTCAGTTATATTCTGGATCAATCTTGAGATGGGTGAACTGGATTCCTCTTGGATGAAACTAGAGCGGAAGATGCACTGTAGAAGCATATTTAATGTTGCCATCAGAGTGAGGGATCTGACTGGATTCAGTCTAAACTGAGCTTCTAGAAAGATGTGGCTTGGGAGCTGGGTCGCCAGCATGTTTCTGTTATTCTTTATAGTTTGCACAACTTGAAGTTAGTGACATTAAATAAAGACAGAAACTGTCAGAATACTGCTTTGGATTACAGTTTTTCATGGAAACAGAAAAAACTCTTAGGGTTCTTCTGTAGTCTCACTGCAAATTGTACACAGATTAAGGAGAACGTGTCACACTGGAGAGAAAGCTCTTCATGGGTGTAACATCTCTAAAATGAAAGAAGGGAAGGACAATCTGAGAGTTACTTTAGCTGCTCTTGCCGTTTCTGCAAGAAATTATTTCCTACATGAAATTATTTTTTTAAGTGTTTTCAATGTTCATGATTATATATGAGACATATAAAATGCTACATAGGTATTAAAAATTGAGTAATTCTAAAATTGGACAAGTACAGTAACTTTCAGGTTACACATCATACAAACCAGTAAACATCTTGATGTTACCAGTTAGGCTGAAACATAACTAAATATTTCATGGTACAGTGTATATTTTAGAAGTTATTTTCCCACTGATTAACAGGCAGTCATAGCTTTGGAAAATATATCCTGGAGTTTTGTGTTTGGGTTTTGTGTTTGATAGTTTCAGTTTTCAAACTTTGTTTTGATTCTGATGAATACATTACGGAAGCCTCATATGAAAAGTCATTTCACAGGATAAATAGACATTTATTTTGTTTTTGTCACTATAAATGTTACTGATTCTCATTATGGTCTTGTTTCATAATGAAGTTAAGTTTCCAAAATTATTCTTGTTTTATTACTAAGTATAAAAAACAAGTATCCGCAGCTATATACAAAGGTGGTATGAACATCTTGACCTTGTTAGTCTGGTATCTCATGACTTCACAGTGTTCACACTTACAGTATTCCCATGGAATGGAGAGATGATACTAACCCAGTGTTAAAGATCTGGTACTGAGGCACAAGTACTGAGACTTAACCAAGGCTGAGCAGGTCATCCATTCTTAAATGGGAATTTAATGAAAAGCTCCCTAAGCATAATCCCTGGATCCTGAAACACTTTTGGTATCTGTGTAAATGTGTCGAGAACTCTGGGTGTTCATTTGCACAAACAGACTCCACCACACAGTAAGGGATCAGGTTGGTTGGTGCTACAGATCTAGCAGCTCTGTGCAGGGGTGTTAATCAAAACAGAGTGACAGCTGTTACTGTAATGGGTGGGTCTGTTTACAGATAAGTAGATAGGTAAGTAAGAGCCATTTAACTTCCAAGTTTCAGGGTTAATTTAGCTTGTTCAGTTGATAATTAAAAAATCATTTTGAAATGTATGAGCAGTCAATTAGAAAATGTCAACTTGTGAGTTTGGACATAATAGCTTCCAGACTATTATATATACCTTCAAACATGAAGGTGACATTAGGGTTTTTACCATGAATACTTTTTCATTTAAGTATTACATTACTGAATTGATAATGTAAGCTACTATATAGAGGGTTAACTGGTAGTTTCTTCTGTAAATGTTGGAAGCTCTGGAATAGTCTCATTTTATAAGCTTCCTTCATAAAAGGCTTGGAAGAATAAGTTTGACTCTTGCCCATGACCTCCTAAATCTCCTAAATACTCCAGAGGATCCTAAACTGAATCTTGGATCTTTTCAGGTCCCAGCCCTTGAGGTTCTCTGCATTCACAGTATGAATGGAGAGGCCCTCAGTCGCATCATGTTTTTAGGCTGGATACTTCTGTTGCCCAAAACTCTCATAGTCATTGCTGCCAGTAGGATTCTTTCCTCTGTCATTTTTCAGATCAACAAGTCGGCAGATGGATGACTGTGTCACTTTGCGTTGTCTCTTCGCCAGTTTCCTTTTTTTCCCCTCAGCGTGTTGAAAATGGGAAGGGGCTCACTACCATGGGAGATGTTTAATATGTGTTTAGAGTATTGGAGAGGGAGGTGGCACACTGAAAATGATAGGTGGACAACACAGTTGTCGCATGGCAGTGTTGATTCACAAAGTTGATAAAATGTCATTCTAATCTTTGTTGTTGAATTGATAGCAATTAGTGAGGTTTCTGTGTAGTAATTCCCATTAATGACAATATAGTATCATGTGCAGTCTGTGACTCAGTATGATTGCAAGAATGCAGGTTTCTATTCATATTCCCTGTATTTTTTCCAGTATCCCAATTTTGCCAAAAAAATAATTAAATCCAGGGAGATTTCTTTGATTTTAGGCTGGCTGAAGTTGTCATTGATAAATTTAGGAGGTAAAAGCTGAGGTTGAGTTTTTTTCTCCAAATGTGTTAAGAGTCAAATATTTAATTTTTGTTTTAATATTTGGCTAAGCTAAAAAGATGTTACTCTCTGTTCTGTTTCAAGAGTCAGCTACCAAATCTATTGAGTCTTGGACAGAATTCTGTAACAAACTGTCCTTAAAATGAACTGCTGTTCATTTAGTTCACAGTCTAAAATATTGGTGTTTCTGTATTAGCTGTGTCATAAAAATGCTATTGTATGTCAACCACCACATTTACCGTTACAGGAAATGCCAGTACACAACAGGAATTTTCAACTTTGTTTTGCAAATTAATGAGAATCAAGTAAGGCAAACCAAAACATGGGATTAAACAGAATTTGCTTTTACTTTTCCGTCTGTTTGAGTTGTTATTTCTCTGAAATGTTTAAATTCAGTATTGTGATGCTATGCCTCATAGGCTTCCAACCAGATCAGTGATAAAAATTTATTTTGATGTTAGCCTTAGAGAAGAGCTACATTGTTTAGAAAAACAAACAAACTGAAATTTGAACAGAACAATTGAAAAACTAAGCATATCTGAGTTGCTAAAGAGTTAGAAGAGTAAATGTTGATTAAAGAGGCTAATTAAAAAAATTGTAATTAACTTTAAATATTTATTATAGGAAATTCTGAGGTGAAGAATAATTTTAGTTGGGTTATGATTTGTAGGATAACAAGTTGAAAATAATTTATTTAAACATTATAACTAATTATTGTCCTGTTGTTTTTTTTTATTTAATTATTTGAAATCTGGTAGAATGATGTCTATTTACATATGCCGATAATTCTGATGTTAGCACTGCAAGCAAGATACTTTACAGCTTATCCTGAGACTTGCTTTCTTACCAGGGCCTTCTGACACTGGCTTCTAAAATTTCCTTCTAAAATGTAATAGACTTAAGTGCTGATGTCCTTGATAGAAAAAAAAAAAGTAACATATTTACTCCTCAAGCAATAGTTATTGCATCATCCAGGACTGAACATAGGCATTAAAAGCCTCTATATGAGGTCTACTGTGAAGGAAGCCTTGCAAGATTTTGCCAAATTTTGCCTCAGAGCAGTCTGCTTCAGCAGGACTGTAGCAGTCCTACAACAGGTGACAGGACCTGAATCAGTTTTGATTGAATATTAAAACTAGTAACCTTTCTAAAAGTTTTGAGTTTCAACTTTCAACCTTAGCTTTTTCATTGTCTTTGGGGAGTTCTGGTTACTGTGGTTACATCTTTGTTTTTCCCTGTATGTTTGTATGCAAAATTTTTTCCTAGTTTCTTGATGGTAAACCTCTATTTTTTTACTCTTGAGTTAAGAAATATGAACATTCTCTGTAGAGACAGCCATGCCCAGCTAGTTCATCACTACACGCACTTCTGCCTTCTTAGTTTTCAATTAACTTTTCAATGAGTGTTTCTGATATTTCAAATATAGCTACAACAGAAATTTTTAATGAAGGCTGTAGGTCAAATACAGAAATGACCTAAAGGATTGTTACAGCATCTCTCACTAAAACTGAGGATGGCTCTTTAGAGACAGTTGCTGAACTGGGAACTGCATTTCTTTTTTTTTGTGTGTGTCCTTTCTCCAAATTCCTTCATTCCATTGTAGATTTTTTTTTTCCTACAAAACTTATTTTTTAACTGTTTCAAAGTCTAATTATTAGCTATGATTCCTTAGCTGGAGAAGAGCCTTGAAGGGGTTGTATGATAGGTAAGTTAGGAAGAATAAGGGAATGCACCAAGGTAATATTTTCCCCCACAAAGATTAAAAGCATTGCAATAATCTTACTGTAGCTTTTATTTTAACAGAAGACTAAAGTGTAACAGGCAAAAAGAAATTATAGATACATTTGGCTTTCTTGGATGTTGGAGAGCATATAGGTTGTCTTTTTATCATTCATACGTTTCTGAAAAGTCAATACATTGGTTGCACTGTTCCCTTTTAGTCTCAGGTCATTGCCTTTCGAAATTAAATGCAGAGGCTGAAATTTTGATGAGGATATCTCTTGTGATCTCTTGCAGAATTTCTGTCCTTTTATTCTGTTGGGATGGCTTGTTCTGCTGTGCAGCATCCTGCCAAGTGGGTCAGTATTGGAAATTGATTTGTCAGGGGCTGTATCCAAGCCCTTTGCTGACATTAGCTGTCTCTGGCACCAGGTGTCCATTGTGTTTCTGGGTTGTTCGTCAAGTCTGAATTAAAAAGGGTAATGAGAAGTGTTTATATTTTCAGTGACAGCACTGTGAATGATATCCTGCAGTCTCTTTTCTAAGTAATTCCTATATCTGTGTCTTTAGTATTCCTCTCTTACCCCTTCTCAGTGCTTATTTTAGACTCAGAG